CAGCCAAGTGGCTGTCCCTGCCTCTCTTCCTTTGTGTCTCTCTGCCACCTTATCTGCTCAAGCTGGTACTAGGTGCCTGGATCAATATACATGTGGAGTGAATCAAACAACACAGCCAGGAAAGAGCACTGGGTTACAAGACAAGACAGCACCCCTACTGCGTCATACCATGTAGTCAATACTAATACGAATAGTGGATCCTTGTCCTTTATATAACCTATCAGTGGAGATTTTACTTCTGCCAAAGTTGCTCTCTTGAAAGGAGGGTAGGGAGCGGAGACTTCCGACAATTGTATGCAAATTCATGCAAGAGGCCGACAGCTGGCTCCTTCACGTTCAGCGTGAGCTACGGATGGGTCTCTCATCCCAGCTCCCAAGCATTGCTGGATTCACAGTCCAGCTCTGACTCATCACAGGCCTCCTCTGGAGCCATTCTGCGGTGGAGGAGCCCACCAAGGTTTGTAATTATTAGACGAATAAAAAGGCGAGGACTGATGGCTGCTTTCAGCCCTCAGCACCAAGGCTGGCCAGGAACTGAATTAGAGACAGTTGTGCAGAAGAGGAATGAGGGGAAACTACAGGCAGTTTGGCTCATTACCTACTATTCCCTGAATTATTATGTCATTGGCTTTCTTATTCCTACGCTCCGTACTGTATTTATAAGAGGAAAAAATTCTTCCACTGCAAATGAGCATCTGGAAAACAAATAGAGAGAATGTAAGTGGATTTTAATGTAATTGAAAGCAAAAGTGTTGTTTATTTGTTCCTCTTTGTCCTTTTCCCTCTCCGTGCAGTCTCAAGCCAACATGACTTCAAACGGCAACAGAGCTTTTTAATGTAAACTTTCAGATTTTTATAGCCAGAGAGAGCACGAGATCACCTAACCTCATCTCCTCTGTAATAAAGACCATTACATTTAACTCTGTTGCCCTGCTGTTGAGCCCCAGGGGTAGAGGGTCATCCAGAGAGGCACCCAGTCTTGCTTTGAAGCCCTCAAGAGATGGCGAATTCGCCACTTCCCTTGGCAATTTTGTTGTCACGACTAACTGCCGTTGCTGTTACAAGTGTTTGCCTCCTTCCTAATTTGCATTTGCTTGGCTTTAACTTCCAGCCATTGGTTCTTGCTCTGCCTTTGTCAGCTGCATTAGAGCCCTGTGATACCTGGTATGTTCTCCATCGTAAAGTATGAGAATTGGGTAGGGCCGAATCAGTGGGGAGAACTCAAAGCACCAAGGCTTCAAAATTGAAACCAATTGGGCCTCATTTTGTTATTCTTGCTCACGCTTAGCTTAGCGCTTTATGCTGCAAATAGTCTCATTACAAGCAATGGAATATAATAGGGATGTTAATGGATAATCAGATAAATGGGTACCTGGTAAGCATCACTCTTAATGGAGGGCTGCTCCAACCCGGCCTGGCCCCCTGTGGCAGCAGTCCCTGCAGAGAGGGTGGAAGCCGCAGCTATGGCAACCATCACCGCAGAAGGCCTGTGAGCAGTTGGGCTGGAGTGTCCCCTGCCCACACATCCCTTTAATCACTTAAATGGTTCAATGTGGTGTCTACCCTGCATTTACCCGTAGAACCAATTAAGTGGGATTTTACATCCCTGGAAAAAAGTGACTTAACCTATCTAAAGGGGACAGAATCTGGCCTTTTTGAAAATGTACTATTTTGTAAGTTTCGAAATGTACCAATGGGTGATGGGCAAATTGCAGCAAGGTTCAGGGCTCAGACTGATGAGTCTGGAAACTAGTGAAGAACGAGTTGTCGTAGACCAGGTTCATTGGCTTAAGCAGAAGAAGCTCATGTTTTTAGACCCGGAAGCCCCCGATTCAGTCCCTGGACATGTCTAGGTATCCTTGGTTCTGTTTCAGCTCAGGAGGATGGGGGAAAATCTTGAGGGCTCTTCTAGCCCTTTGTTACTACGATGCTTTGAGCCACTCATGTGCATTGTACTATGAGAATGTTTATATGGACTATCAGAATTCTTTGCTCTGCAATATTAGGCTAGAAGATTCACGGGCCCAAGTTTGCTTGTTAGATTCCAGGCGCTTCATGTTTCTGAAAGTATCACAAGAACACCCTTTGTCATCGAAAGTCTTTCTGTTGGCACTCTGGCTTCACTCCCCAAGGAGACGATGGGTTATGTGCCACCCTGTAATCTATGGACAAGCTAAGCAGTGTACTTTCTCCACTATAGACATAGACTTCTCTCCTCCCTCCAGCAAGTGGTGCTAGGACAGCCCTTCTTCTCTGCGCAGGTACCAGAGAGCTTGGGGAAATGAAGTGAACTGATGAAACATCAGCACTCATTTTCTGCTACTCCTCATCTCCGTGTTGCATTGTCACTTAGCAGGAGGAGATTGAGCCATAATTAACACCGTGAGGTTTAAAGCTTGCTCAATGCTAGCAATTGAAGGACAAAAAGCTTTTGTAGTTCACAGGTGCTTTAATGCCTCGCTCTCCAACAACAAAAGTTTTGCGGTGGCAAGTACTTGTGTAAACGGGTAAGAAGTGGAAGTTTCCGGCAAACAGCGTTCACACTGCCTGACTCTTAGTGACTTGGCTGTGTGGACACGGCCACGTCTCTAAAAGCTGTGTAGTGTAGACATACTCTAAGTGTTGTGGAGGGGTCATGGTGTTGGTCATTTACCTTAGTTCGTATTAAGGAGGAAATACTCTGTTTAGGGTCAGCCTCCCTGTCCTTGGGTCTATTTTCTATTTGCCCTATTTTTGAGTATTCTCTGATTCATACTCTGTTTCACTTAGGTCTCCCGAATGTCTCCTGTTCCACTTCATTGAAAGTTGCTTGATGTGATGTAACATCATGTGTGATTTATTTTTTCAGTAACAAGAGGAAGGGAGCACTTTGTCCCTCAAAGAAACCTACTTGCTCTGAAATGCCTTTAACTGGAAATGTTGGAGATGAAATGTCTCAAATTCTTTGGATTTTTCCTTTCCCTCTGGCTTTGTTCTGCATCCATACATTCAATACAGGTCATGCCGCCATGATTCCTCAGGTTGAGCTGGAAGATCTGACCAAATTCTGATCTGCATCACACAAATGCAAGTCCAGAGTAACTCTACTAGATTCATTGGAGCTGCTCTGGGCTTACACCAATGTAAAGGATGTCAGAAGCTAGCTCCTGGGCTATGTGGTCTCAGATCTTCATGGTTTTCTATAACTGTATTTGGTATGGAGATGGAATGCCAAACCCAACCCCCTTCAGACTGAATGCATTAAGGATGTTAACTAACAGTTAACTCTTAGTGACCCACTGAGGCTCTTGTACATTTCAAAGGGGGAATACGGAACTCTGCATGCAGCCCGAGGCTAGTGGGAAGTCCCATTGACTACGGGCTGCATGGGGGTGTGCCAGCTTTGAAATGTACAAGAGTCCCCAGCAGCTCTTTAGCTCTAGTGGCTATTTAAAGGGCCGGGAGCTCTGGCTGCAGTAGCAGCGGTGGGAGCTAGGAGCCCTGGATCCCTTTGAATCACCAGGCCATGGGGCAGTTGCTCCCTTTGTGTCCTCCTCTCCCCCATCATTGGGCCTGGAATTTTGCCACTGAGTTGAGTGAAACCAAGATTCCACCCTGTGGTTCTCGGGTTAGCTACGAACTAGGCTTGGTTTCATCTCCAACCTAGAAGGAAACTCAGCATCATCGGTACAGTAATTTGTTGCTGTCCAGCATGAATTGCACTGAATAACACTGAGTTCTTGCTGAAAGAAATAAAGGTCTTTTCTCCTGGCAAACAGTTGCATTTGAAAGGCTCCAGAACTGTAAATGATCAGACCAGCGCTGTACATCCAGTTGCGTTAGTCGCTATCCACACACACTTCCCTTTTTAACTTACAGGGCATTGAAAATTACATTGGCTTTGGTTGTAGTAGATTTCCTGTAAAGGGAAATTATGCCTCACCAATCTATTAGACTTCTTTGAGGGTGTCCACAAGCAGGAGCGGCCTGAGGCGGGCTGCAGCAGCTGGTGCCCCAGGCAAAACACACAATCGGCGCCCCCGCCTGCATGGCGGTCAATGGAGTGATGTCATTATCGGGCGCCCCGGGCGCCCCATGACATCATCGGGCACCCCATTGAAGGCAGCGCCCTAGGCAACGGCCGAGTCGGCCTATAGTTATGGGCTGCCCCTGTCGACAAGCATGTGGACAAGGATGATCCAGTTGACATTGTATTCTTCAACTTTCAGAAACCCTTTGACAAGATCCCATGCCAAAGGCTCTTAAACAAAGTAAGTGGTCATAGGATAAGAGAGAAGAGCCTCTCATGGATCAGTAGATTGTTAAGAGATTAGATAACAAAGGGTAGAAATAAATGGTCAGTTTTCCCAGTTTAGAAAGGTAGATGGTGGAATCCTCTAAGGATCTGAACTGGAACCAGATCTGGGGAGTGGAGGGAGATAAAACGCGTGGTCATGAAATTGGCAGATGATACAAAATTACCCAAGACAATTAAGTCAAAGCTAATGGCAAAGAGTTAGAAAAGGGTCTCACAAAACTGGGTGACTGGGCAACAAAATGGCAGATTTTAGATTAGACATAGCATAGGGCTTTTCTTTTATAGCTCCAACTTGGGTCACAATCCAGCAGAGCACTTCAGCACACCGTTATTAGCCAAAGCACATGCATAGTCCCACTGAAGTACATTGGACTAGCCATGTGCTTCAGTTCTCTGCTACGTCGGGGCCTTACTTTCCAAATATGGACAGAGAGATTCATAAGAAATGGATGTTGCCTAGATTAGGCTCCAATTCCATTTGCATCATTCTGCTAATGATGGCAGAGCATCCGCGACCCTTTCTAGCCACACTAATTAGTCCAGGAAAGTCAGGAGTTCAGAGCCCTTTGCAGATTCCTAGTGGCTCTGGGTGTACTCTGAGAGCAGCGTGTTTCAGAGGGCCTGAGATGTAACTTTGGGAATGTAGAGACATGTCCCATTTCCTGTCTCTGACCTTGAGCTGTAATTGCGTTCTTTCATGCAGCCATGAAGGCAGATCGAAAACGTTTGAAAGCAGAGAAGACAGACTTGGTCAGCCAAATGCAACAGCTCTATGCCACGCTGGAGAGCCGGGAAGAACAGCTACGTGACTTCATCAGAAACTACGAGCAACACAGAAAAGTAAGCGCCTGTGTACTGTGTATCCAACCCAGTCTCTCACCCACAGGCTGTTGCTTCACACTCCATATGATGTTACACATGTTCCTTAGGATCTAACGTGAAGAGCCAAGACAAGCTCATGGCTCTGGTTGTGTGCGCGTCTGATGTTAATGTGGCCAGGTTCATTCTGCACCTTGTGCTCTTTATCGACCTCTCCAGCTAAGAATAACCACGGTGTGGGCTAAATCTGAGTGTACGTACCTTCCTGCCCTCCCCCCTGGAGCAAAGAGCCCCATCTGTTGGCAGCAGAGGGAGGCAGAGTTCATAACGTAAATGATAGCACCACTAAGTTAAAAAATGAAGCAGATCCTGGAGACTTTCCTTGACGCTGATTGTATTGTACTAGGAGTTAAAAGAAAACAAACAGAGTCAGTATTCCTGCAGTGCAGTGAAATGAGACACACATTTGGTTATAGGAATACGGGGCCCAACGCAAGCTGCTTACAAGTCCAGCGACATTAAGGCAATTGCACCTGCCTAGTCGAGGTCAGGATTTAGCCCATGATGTTACTTAGGCTGTCTCTACACTACAGACCTTACAAGGGCACAGCTGTAAGCTGACTAACTGGTAAAAGTGTAATTAGACAGGTCAAAAAACAATGTGAAGAGCAACCAGAAAAGGTCACACAAACCAATAGTGAAAAAATGGGAAGTACCTCAGCAGCAGGACGCCGGCCAAACAATCAGGGAGGCCACTAGACTCTCAAGATGCTAAAGGAGCACACAGGGAAGCTAAGGCTGTTGTGGAGAAGCTAAACGGATTCTTTGCCTCACCTGTCTTCATTGCAGGCAGTGTGAGGAAGATTCCCACACCTGAGCCATTGTTATTAGGTGACAGATCTGAAGAGCAATCCCAGGGCACGTCTAAACTACATGGCTCTGTTGACGGAGCCATGTAGATTTGTTTGTTCAACAAAGGGAAATGAAGCCGCGATTTAAATAATCGCGGCTTCATTTAAATTTACATGGCTGCTGCGCTGAGCCAACAAACAGCTGATCAGCTGTTTGTCGGCTCAGCGTGCTAGTCTGGACGCTCCCCTGCCAACATGAGAGCCCTTTATCGACCTCTCCAGTAAACCTCATCCTATGAGGCATAATGGGGAGGTCGATAAAGGGCTTTCAGGTCGGCGCGGGAGCGTCCAGACTAGCACGCTGAGCTGACAAACAGCTGATCAGCTGTTTTTCGGCTCAGCGTGGCAGCTATGTAAATTTAAATGAAGCGGCGATTATTTAAATCACCGCTTCATTTTCCTATGCCTGGTAGCCTAATCTTCATTTCCATTTGCTGATCTGTCTAATCTACATGCCTCTGTCGACGGAGGCATGTAGTTTAGACACAGCCCCAGATTGAGGTGTCAATGTTTTAAAGCCACCTTTCAAATTGACAAATTTAGCAGTAAATAAGTCACCCAGACCAGATGGCAATCACCCATGGGTTCTGAAGGAACTCACTATGAAATTGTAAAAAAGGGTGGTATGTTCCCTATTGCTTAAATCAGTCTTTTGATCAGATAATGGGAAGATTGCTAATGTAACTCTGATGTAAAAAAAAATACTCCAGATGCAATAGTGGGCTCTGGATGAAGTTCTAAAAGTCTGTACTATCCAAAGCAAGGGGCTGATGCCCTATTGGCTCTCTCTGTGCTGCACTCCTGCAACTACTTCTATTGAATCTGTGCATCAGCCTGGCCAAACTGTCCTGAAAACATTCCCCGCCCAAGCAGAAACTGTTTGATCCTCCCCATTGAACTCAAGGGCAAAAGTTCCATTCACTTCACTGCTGCAAGATCATGTCCAAAATCTATGATGGTAGTGAAAAGACCTGGAGAGATTTTATTCTTTGATGAAAAAGAAAACTTTTCAGGTGAGTGAGCAAATAAATTTTTGCAAGTCAGCTAGCAATAGAACGGTGGAAACTAGAGCACTAGTAAGTAAACAAAAACAGGAAAAGTCAGGTCAGTGAGCAAAGTTAGCAAGGTTTGATTTAAGAGTATTGCTCCATCTGTGTCATGTAACAGATCAGACTGGAAGAAATCATTGAATCAAGATGGTGCACGCACTCTTTCTTTGCCCAAGGGAATGAACCTTTACAACGGGTTATTTCAAGGACGAGGTTTTATAATTGTCCTTAATGTGAAAAGCTTGCTAAAAGAACATATAAACTGCAGTGACTCCAGAGTAAGTTGCTCAGTAATAAATAGCATTTCTTTGAAATGGTTCCAGCCTCTCTGCTCTGTTTCCAAGAGGATATATGTATATTTTTAGACCGTTTCCTGTTTTGCTTTTGATTAGGCTGCATAAAGCCGTCCATTCCGATAAGCAGCCATGGGAATCAAACATCTGTAATTATTCTGGGCTTTTTTTCCATGCAGAAAGTTTCTATTTTTAATGTTTCATAACAAAGATCGCTCGAATTCAGCACTGGGCTTTTGGGGAAAGTTTTTCTTTTTCTTTCCTGCTCATGTGAGAAAGTCAATGCAATTAAAAAAAGCCAAACAAAGAGAGGTGGGGGAGGAATGCATGGAAGAAAGCATGGAGGTGGGGGAGAATTTCTGTGCACTGTTCATTGGATTGTGAGGATACTGGAGGTCTTGTGTTATCTGTAGCCCCTCGATTCACTTCATCCAGATCAGCTGGTAGAATCTTTATGGGAGTGTTGGAGGAAGTTCTTCCCTGGGGGCTGTGTTTGCAGAGAGACTTGGGACATGTCCTTGTTTCCACTCTGCGGCAAGCAGCCTGCGTGTTTTCACTAGAGAAACTTGGTGTATGTAATAACCTGCGAACTAGGATCTGGGTGACCCGTAGGGTGTCTCCTGTGGTCATGGAAGAGGATCAAAGAGTGTGCGAAAAAGCCTCCTGCTTCTTCCTTGTGCTTGTTCTCCCAGGGTATCACATGTCGTTTCTTTTGAGCCTTGTGGAGAAATGTTATTCCCCTGGCCTTGAGGACTCCTCTGCATAGGGGGGAGCAGTGACATACACGGCTGGGGTCATGTCCACAGTGGGACTGGTAACTGTGCAATCTTGGGGCTTGGTTATTAGAAGTGTTGAGCATCCAAGACTCCAGCAGGGGGGCTAGTGTAAGCTGCAGGTACTCAGTGTCACTGAAAAACAGGGCCCACCGGTGTCGAAACAGGGCTGTGGCTAGTAGCCAGTTTATCCCATTTTCCCTACGCCATGTAGAAGGTCATCTTATTCTAAAAGCTCGGTTAGTCAGGCTGCTCTTTTGACTCTTGCAGCAGCATGGCTGTCAGACATGGTGCCCAGGAAAAGCACATGTACATGGAAACCATGCTCTTGGCAGCAGAGTTTGAAGGCCGGTGTTGATAGCACAGTTTCATCTGTAGAGGAGAGAAGAACCAATAATGTTCCATCTGCTTAGGGTAATAAGGACAGTTTGGAAATTATTTGCTTGATGGCAGCACCCAGGCGAACCAAGGAGATCTGGGGTCCCATTGTGCTAGGCACTGCACATACACCTCCTGAGAGAGAGCCCCAGAGAGCTTCCAGGTTGTACAAAGGGTAGGGAGGCGAGGCACAGAGAGAAGTGACTTGTCCAAAGTCCCACAGCAGGTATAGTAGCAGAACCAGAATGAAAACACAGTTCTCCTGCTCTGGTGCCCCTGTCTCCTCGCCCACGCTGCCTTTCATTGCCATTTGCTTTCCCTTTCATGCGTTATTTAAAAGGAGGCATCTTGCTTTGAAACATGCTGGAGGAAGAGCATCCAGAGTAGGGTCATCACCACCTGCCCTGTAACCCGAGGTGCCTCAGATGCTCTGCTGTGGCAGTTCACCCTAAGTTCACAGCCTGGGTCCCAGCATGCCTCTCACCCCCTGAGCATCCGTGTGTTGTACACCCCTGGGTCATCAATTCTGACTCCAGCACCCTGCTGACAGCACAGTCTCCCCTCTCTGGCTTTGTCAGCCTTGGTTACGACTTGCAGGAGAACCATAGTGTGCCCCCAACCCTGAAATCCCCCATCCCATCAGCCTTGAAGTGTCCAGCCCTCTCCTGGCACACACAAAGACATAATAAGGGTGGTTTGCACCTCTAACGAGACAAAAGCACATCCTGGCTTGTTAACTTAATTGGGGTCTATGAACCCTTCCCTGCAGGGGGTGTATAGTGAAAATGCACCTAAAAGTTTAAAACTTACTCTAGACTTTGTACCAGAGGGTGCATCTCTCCGGTCAGTCTTCTTCTCAGCTAGGGCTGACTTTCCCTCAGTCCAGGCCCTTCCACAGCTGTGCAAGATGCTGGCTTCTCTTGGCTTCGTAGGCAGAAGGTCTATGTGTAGGCACTTCAGCCTTTCCCTTCCCTTCCTCCTTGGTGGGAAGACCCATCTTTCTCCGCTCGCAAGGGCTCTAGCCCCACGTGTTGGTCTGGTGATGGACGCCAAAGATGGCTTCTGTCCTTGCTTCTATCTTCCAGACTTCAGTTGCCACATTTCAAGGGGCATTATGACCTTGAGCTGTTCTTCCCTGCCTGTGGATTTCCTATCCCGCTGCTGATTTCTGTATAAATGGAGCGTCCCGTTGATTCTGCTAATATCTTTCTTAATCAGAGAGCTGCCTGCCTGGATAAATCTGTTTTTCCCCTTAGCTTAGTCATAGACTTTACAGGATACGATCAGCATATCCCCATAATTCCTTGTTCAGTGTTAATCAAGACCTTGCATGAGGAGACTAATCACCAGTGTGTCATTAGCTTTCAGAAAAGATCTTCCTTGATATACTTCTGTGGCACGGAAAGATAGCATACAAGCCACTGATTCAGTTACTTATCATTTGGGGTGGAGGTGCCAACCGGTCTCCTCCCCCTCTTGAGAGCCTTGTTTATCTAATATGTAAATGGACCTTCATTGTCTCTGCCTCATCAGCAGATGCGGGGGTGACTCATGAGAGGGTGCGGCCTGGGGCCAGTAGCTGGAGGCAGAGCCATCCTATCCTATGGATGGTTCATCCTACTGCTCTGGTCCCTGCTCTTTGTGGGGCCCAAGGGGATTAGCAGGGGGGAGGGACTTGGTGCTGGCAGTAGAGGTCAGTCTCCCCCGCACTCATCTGCTGCAGTGGCAGGTCGCAAAGCGGCCTCCGCTCGCTCCACTCCGCCGGCTCCCAGTGGCGTTGCTCCTCTTCCTGCTGCTGGTGACTGAGGGGGTGGTCCCACCCCTTCCCACAATGCCTCTTCTCCAGCAGCACTGTCCAGGGTTAGCAGGGGGGCTGGGCTAAGACTGCCCCTACACTCACCAGTGGTGGTAAGTGGAATGACTCGACCCCAGCCCGCTCCATTCCCGCGACTCCCAACCATGGTGTTGGGGGAAGGGGTGGAACCGGTGGCAGGAAGCAGAGCAGCTGGAGCTAGGTCACTCCGCTTCCCCCGCTGCTGCCGGTGAGTGTGGGGGGGCACCCCTTGGTTGTGTCACTCAGGGGAGGGGAGCTTGGGGAAAGGGGTGGGGGAGCGGCAGGTTGGGAGCTTGGGGACCTGAGGGAGCAGAGCAAGGGTGAGAAAAGGTGTTGAGGGGCAGAGCAGGGGTAGTCTTGGGAAAAGGGATGGAGTGGGGGGTGGGTTGGGAACAGGCAGGGAGTGGAGAGGAAAGGGGCAGGGTGGGGTGAGAAGAGGCGGGACCTTCCCCAGGTTAATGGTGGTGGTGGGAGGAATCAGATGGGTGGGGCCGTCACGTGGCCAGTGCCCCTTGTGTCCCTCTCCAGAAGTTGTCACTGAGTAGATGGATCAGAGAAGCAAACATATTCTTTTTTCTGGGCAGACCTACTTACCAGCTCTCCCTAAGATGCCTGATTTTAAACACATTTGAGTCCTAATTCCAGCATATATCCATAACTCTTAATACACACCACGTATGCACCTCCTGCAAGAATATGTTAGTTTTCCAAGGACCTTTTACATGACACCTTGTAGCTCCAGATTACAACTGTGGTGAGTTGGGGTACACTGAATTGGGGAGGCCAGGTGAAATTACCTACCTGATACCAGTGAGTCCCCTGCCCTCTAGCACTGGGATGCCCTTAAAATCACACCCTCCCAACAAGCCTGCATTCTGACCCCCAGGATCTTCTATTTCCATCTTCTTAGACCATCCTCCCACTCCTTTTCTTGGGGACTCTGCAATGCAGCAGCCACATGGCCAACATAATCTTGTGCTTTCCTCATCCCATTATAAATCAGTGGGGCCAGATTTTTCCAAGTACACACCCAGGCCAGTTTGCGCATGCGCAACCTGTGCAGCCTCTCCTTTGCTGATGCCTTTTCCTAACACCCCCATGCCAAGTCAGCCCTTTAGTCCCCTGCTGTATGCAAAGGACTGGCCCGGTTTGGCTGAGATCATTAGAATTCGATATAGATATGCAATGATATTGGTGAGGCGAGAACCCCACTGCCTTTGTCACATGCAACACCGGGCAGGGTAGGGAAGAGGGAGGGCTTGCTAAACTGAAACAAGCATTTGACCAGGACCACAGGAACTGTCCCTTTCGCTATCCGGGGTGAAAGCAGGGATGTGCCGAGGCTTTTCAGTAGGGGCTAGAATTTATAAAAACGTGTCAGCCTGGGGTGAAAACAGGGATGTGCTGAGGCTTTTCAGCAGAGGCTAGAATTTATAAAAACGTGTCAGCCTGCTCCTCTCTGGGACAAGCCCCCATCCCACGTACTAATGCTGAGGCTGAGGCTGAGGCTGCCTGGGCTTCCCTGAGCACGTAGGTGCCCAGTTCCCTGCTCCTCTCTGGGACAAGCCCCCATCCCACGTTCTAATGCTGAGGCTGCCTGGGCTTCCCTGAGCACGTAGGTGCCCAGTTCCCATAGGCAGTTTTAAGTCTCAGCCTTTGGGCTCGCCCACATGCATGGTGACATAAGGGGATGTATGTCTGCTTCCTTAGACGGAGCCTGTAGGATGTCTGGGGAAGCAGCGACAGCTGGCACTGAGCGGGGGCATGGGGTGGGGAGCATATACAACAGAGCTGCCATGCAGAAGGAAGACACCCAGGCAACACCAGGAAAAGGGCCTTTCAGCATCCTTCATCCCTTCCTTGATTTCCCTCCCCTCCCCCCGGTTCTCTGGACAAAGGTGCTCTGCACTGCCCCCTAGGGGGCCTGGACTGCTAGGTGCCAAACCAGCCCTGGGTGATGTCTTGCCCTAAACGGGCACAGGTGGCCGCAAGCGTCAAGTCTCTCCACCATGCTTGGAGGAGCAACCTCCCTAAAGCAGCATCCTGGGAAGGGCTCCCGGGCTGCGTGGAATACCCAGATGCACATGCGTTGCGGTGTACCCCAAATGGATCGATTGAAAAGTGAAAAATACAGCCAGCAGGATGCATGGGGCCATCAGCACTGTTGCGTCAGCCCTGCTCTGCTCTCCCGGAAATTGTTCACGCTGTGCCATGGCCCCTGTCAAATTAAGAGCTTAGTGAGCGTCTGCTGGGCTGTGACGGCACACGCCAGCTGGCCTGTGTGCTTTTGTATGCAGGCAGTTTCCCATCCAGGAAGCTCCTCCCAGGTGACTCTGGGATGTCACCTCATGGGTGCCAGAACCTGAAGGCACCTTGGCCCAGTGAGCAGGGACCAGGGCAGAAGTCAGGAGACTACAGTTCCTGTCTCTCCCACCGACTGGCTCTCCTGAACCACATTACTCCTCTGTGCCTCAGTTCTCCCCTCCCCCTCTCACCCTCCAGGTTAAATAGTGATGATGGTGCTTTAGCTGCCATTGTAAAGTGCAGAGAGCTATGGATGAGAAGGGCTGGAGAAGGCCTAAGTGTGATGAATCTCCACACACCAAAGCCCTCAAACCTAGAAAAGGAGAAGAGCCAGGGTCCTTTGAAGCTCACTAAGAACACGACTGTTACCACCAAATATCACAGGGCAAGCGCTCAGATATCACAGTAATAGGCAGCAAAGCAGAACCAAAAGACCAAGAGATTAACAACCCAGAAAGCTTTTAGATCTGTACCTAGGCTGCACACACAGCAGCTGCCACCATTACTTTGTTATGATGAGTTTCCTTGTAGAACCAGGAAGGTTTCTGTTTTATTGAACTCTGAGAGCAAGGAAGGGGAGAATGGGTTTCTCATGGGGTTATTTCTCATATCACTGTATCCATGGAGGAAAGTCTAAGGCTAGCTCTATACTACAGGGGAAGGTTGAACCAAGATACACAACTCCAGCTACATTAATTGTATAGCTGGAGTCAGTGTACTTTGTTTTAAGTTTCTCTGCTGTCACCACAGCAGGAGACTGATGGGAGCAAATGCTTTCCCTTACTCCTCACAGAAGCAGGAGTACCAGCTGCCGATAGGGGCACCCTCTGACTTTGAGTTAACAGGTCTTAACTAGACCCACTAAATCGAACTCCGGAAGATCGATTGTGGCAGCGCTGATCTTCCATTTAGTGAAGACATGGCTTAAATCAGCAATTCAGGAGGAGACACCACTAGCTTGTGCCAAACAGTAGAAAATGGCATGTTTTCAGAACAGCTGGGCTTGCAAAGATGCTTGTCTCTGCTTTAGGTTCCTTGGCACGCAGGATTCGAATCCCCCTGCTGTCTCAAGCAGCTAACTCCTTGCTTCTAGCCAGTGTTTGTTGCTGTGCTATTGGCCCTTCATTATGGCCACTCTCGGTAACTGGGGCAGGGTAGGTGGCACTGACGTGCTCAGATGATCTAGGACACGGTGTGGTAAAGAGACACGAGTGGTGAAAACCACCTCTTACTTTTCTTTGTTTGCCCTTCAGTTTTTCAAAAGTGTTGCTTTCTGTCCCCACTAGGGATGTTAAGTATCGGTTAATTGAACGGTCGATTAACCTCGTGGATTCTTATCGGTTAGTCGACTATTCTATAGTCCCTGGGCAGCCCCTGTCTGGAGGGGCGGGGTCTGAGCTCCCAGACCCAGCATGAGCTAGAACGGAGCTGGGCTTCCTGCCCACCTGGCTCCTAATACACTTTAAATGCAGAGCTGTGGTGAGGGAAGGTCTAGGACCCAGTGCAAGCCAGGACTGAGCTGGGCTGCTGGCTAGCCTGCTAAAAAATTTACTGGCAAGGGGGACAGGGGGAATGAGTGTAGTCTATGCATTAACCTATACGCTTTTGCTTATCAGTTAATTGACTACACTATTACATCCCTAGTCTCCACTTGCTACCCCGATGCTGGACAACGGCCTCTTCACAGCCCTACAGATTCACCACAGCTATAAGCTGGCGTAGGAGAAGGTAAAGAAGAGATAAAACTGGAATAATGAAGGGATCCTGCTAGTGGTGATGGGGAAAACTTGACCCTGCTGAAGTCAATCCAACTTTTGCCATTGACTCTGGCGTGGTCGGGGGTTTGCCCAGTGTTTTTAATAGAGAATGAAATGCTGTCCAGTGGGGCAGGGCATGGATTTCCTGTGGCTGCAGGTGGTGTCTGTTCCCTCATTTCCCCCGGTGTCTTTGCAGGAGAGTGAGGACGCAGTGAAAGCACTTGCAAAAGAAAAGGATCTCCTGGAGCGAGAGAAGTGGGAGCTTCGCCGGCAAGCCAAAGAGGCAACGGACCACGCCAGCGCGCTCCGCTCCCAGCTGGACCTGAAAGACAACAGAATGAAGGAACTGGAAGCTGAGCTAGCCATGGTGAGAGCCCTTCCTCCTGCATCTGTAGCCAGAGGCATTTGTATAGACTGGAGTGCAGATGAGCTACCGCTGCAGTGGAGCTTAGGGGGCGGTTCAATCCTAGCTTTGGAAGTTGTTCACTTGCTAGCTACAAATAACGGACATGTAGGTCTGCAGTGGAGCTTAGGGGGTGGCTCAATCCTAGCTTTGGAAGTTGTTCACGTGCTAGCTACAAATAACGGACATGTAGGGCTGAAAGGGACCTTGAGAGGTCGTCATGGTCAAGTGTAGCCTCCTGCTGTGAGACTGGACCCAATAAACCCCCTAGACCATCCCTGAGAGGTGTTTGGCCAGCCTGGTCTTAAAACCCTCCAGAAATGGAGATTAAAGGTCTAGAATAAAAGAGGGAAGACAGGAAGAATTGGGTTTGTTTAGTTTGAAAAAGAGAAGACTAAGAACATAAGAATGACCATACTGAGTCAGACCAAAGGTCCATCTAGCCCACTATCCTGTCTGCCGACAGTGGCCAATGCCAGATGCCCCAGAGGGAAGGAACACAACAGGTAATCCTCACGTGATCCCTCCCCTGTTACCCATTTCCAGACACACACAGGCTAGGAACACTATTTCTACCCATCCTGGCTAAAAGCCGTTTAAGGACCAAACCTCCATGAATCCATCTAGCTCTTTTTTGGACCCTGTTAAAGTCCTAGTCTTCACCACATCCTCTGGCAAGGAGTTCCATAAGTGGACTGTGCACTGAGTGAAGAAAAACTTCCTTTTGTTTGTTTTAAGCCTGCTGTCTATTAATTTCATTTGGTGACCCTTAGTTCTTATAATGTGGGACTAAGTAAATAACTTTTCCTTATTTACTTTTTCCGCGCCAGTCCTGGTTTTATAGACCTCCATCATATCCCCCCTTACTCTTCTCTTTTCTAAGCTGAGAGGGGACATGATAGCAGTTTTCAAGTACTTAAAAGGGTATTACAAGGAGGAGCGAGGAAAAAAATGTTCTCCTTGACCTCTGATAATAGGACAAGAAGCAACGGGCTTAAATTGCAGCAAGGGAGGTTTAGGTTGGACATTAGGAAAAACTTCTTGTCAGGATGGTTAAGCACTGCAATAAATTGCCGAGGGCTGTTGTGGAAACTCCATCTCCGGAGATACTTAAGAGCAGGTTAAATAGACATCTATCAGGGATGATCTAGGCAGTACTGGGCCCTGCCGTGAGGGCAGGGGACTTGTCTGTAGTCTCCCTTGGAAATGTTCCAATCCTAGGAGAGAGGGTTTTTTCGTAATATCCAACCTTAATCCCTTGCTTCACTAAGCAGCGTGTCTCCCCGGCTTAGGCCAGCCACCTGAATACGCTGAGATCCTAGGTGCGCCCTTGAGAAGCCAGCCCAAGCTGCTGCCCTTGCCTCGGCTTCTAGGCTGCTCTTTTTAGCAGACAAGCTCAAACAGAGCTAGTGTGTGTGCATCTACCAACGCCGGGAATTACCCCTCCCAGCTGCCGGGTCGACATACCCTAGAAAACCTCACCAAGTCCAGAGTCTCTTCCTTGAATATGAATTCTGCACGGCTTTGGTCTGATTTTCTGTGACAGCCCCTGTCCAATGAATGTCACCCAGCTCTCGGGCTACAGGTCATGGCCCTCCTACCTGGTCACTTTCACCTCAGCAAAGGGTCATATGTTTCTGGTCCAGCAAATCTAGACAGGCAGCCTTTCAAACCACCCTGGACATCCCCTGCGAGAAATTGTGTTCCTGGCAGCAGGCATCCCAGACCCTTTGAGATTTCCCCAGCACATGTTATTTGCTGTAGCAACCTGTGATGTGACCAGCCTGCAACTTCCTTCATGCCTTGTACAGTGCATTGGGCTGGGGGAGCAGGCCTTAATTTCTCCCCAAGCAGCTAAACAAGGATTTATCTCATTTTCTTATGAACATAAGAACGGCCATACTGGGTCAGACCAAAGGTCCATCTAGCCCAGTATCCTGTCTGCCGACAGTGGCCAATACCGGTTGCCCCAGAGGAAGGGAGCACAACAGGTAATCCGCATGTGATCCCTCTCCTGCCACCCATTCCAGACAAACAGAGGCTAAGGACACCATTCCTAACCATTCTGGCTAATAGCCATTGGTGGACGTAACTTCCATGAATCAATCTAGCTCTTTTTTGAACCCTTTTAAAGTTCTAGCCTTCACCTTATCCTCTAGCAAGGAGTTCCACAGATTGACTGTGCTCTGAGTGAAGAAAAACTTCCTTTTGTTTCTTTTAAACCTGCTGCCTATTAATTTCATTTGGTGACACCTAGTTCTTATGTTAAGGGGGTTGCAATATCAACCAAAGACACGATTCCCACAGATCAGCCCTAATTGCCATCTTAAGCTTGCCAGGAGAAAAGACAAAGCGACCATTCTCCTTGGTACCGCTTTGTTTTTCTTACTTCTCTGCAGACTGCCCTGGCGCTGGTAAGCAGAAGGCGAGTGTCACAGCCAATCACCACCCTTCTTATTTGCAGGTCTGTGAGGGCTCTGCGCTAGCCAGCGAATTAAGTAGAAGAGGGCAAAGAGTTGAAAGGGAGTCTGGCAAGACTGACAGGCTTCGGTAGGCGGTGCAGTCACATGGACTGCCTCTTTCCCCGCTCATGCATGCGAGCGCACAGACATCCTCACCTGTCTCAACCACTCCTGCTGGGGCTGATGCCTTCCAAAGACTTACAGTTCTCAAACCGATGCAGGCATATATCCACGTCGCAAGTGCCTGCGTGTCCCCGCGGTAATACACAAGCTCCTGCCGCCTCTTTACTTTTGTAGATACAGTGCTGGAGCTAGTCAAACATACACACCCCCCCAAGTGTTCCTAACCTAGTTCCTTCACTGCTCTAAGCACGTGTCCATGCATCCACATCCCACCTGCCCCTTCCTCTAGATGCCTCTATATCCTTCAGCATTTGGCTCCGAAATCATAAGCAGGCTGGATGTCAGATGTCTCCTGTGTTTTCACTGTTCAGAGCAAATTTCTGCCATGAAACACAAATGACAGCTGGACATGCAGTCAAAATTTCCCCCTTAGCTTTGAAGCATTCCACGGTATTAAATAGATAGCTCACAATTTGTTGCGTGATGCTTCACCTTGCACTGCAGAGGTTTGCTGTGCACAGTCGCTGCCCAACAGTGACACCTAGTGTTTATCATCAGACTGACATTCAGCCATCTGAAGAGCTAGACAGGGTTGGGGAAACTAAGGCCTGGGGGCTGGATGGAGCCTCTGGCTTGCCCAGATCTGGCCCCCAAGGCTCAGAGATTCCTCCCCTCGCCCCAGAAATGGGGAGCCCTCGCCGCTCCTCTGCAGAGCTGGGGAACACACAATCTACTAGCTTGGGCCTCCTTAGGCTCTGGTGTGTGAGGGGACTGTGGGGAGTGTCTTTCTCCTTCTCAACTGGGGGCTACGCCAGTGAGAATTTGGTTTTGGGTTTTTTGCTTTTCACTTGTGTGCAGCCCCCGTCTGATTTCTCCGTGGGCCAGCGGAATGATTGGAATGTTGGCCCAGAATTCTGTCACGCTTAATCCCAGTGAGCAGTATGTGGCTTTGCCGGTAGCTCTGTTGGAGGCAGGGGGCTGCCTGGAACAGGACACACCACTCTTCGGGGGTCCAGGTGAAAGAATGGGCCCAGCATAGTTCATGTTTCAGGACTAAAGCTAGCGATACTTTACAGCATGTGTCTGGTAATGAAGCTTCATGCCATTGCTGTTACACAGGTGAATTCACAGCAACCCATGTGTATGACAAGTTTTTTTGTAAAGGCGCTTACAAATTGTATAGCACAATGTGACAGTCATGTGCGTTAAATAACATCACGGTTGTATAGGCATGTGGGCTTTTTTTACCCTTGAAGTCCCAAGGATAAGAATTTGATAGGGATTGTTTAAAAGGTGCTCTGCTTTTCAGAGAATCTCTTTTTCTGTTGATTATGAAAACCTTAATAGGGCCAAGTCTCCAGTGTCACTCTGTTGCCTTCAGTGAAGCTATGCTGATTGGCACCAGGTGAGGATCCAGCCCTTAGTACCTCATTTGAGTTCCTCCCCAGACAGGTTTGCATTTCAAGCTGCATGGCTTCAGCTTGCCAGTCCAACTGCAATCCAGGGAGGGTCTGCTTACGGGACATCAAACCAGCGGTGTGCTTCTGATCTGATCATTGCCTCCACAGTCTAACGGGTGCCGCCTTTAGCCACTGGAACGATGTGCGTCTTTAGATCCCACAAGAACCTCCAGGCAGCCACGTGCAGCACACAGCTTTTTCTCTGCCCTGCAGAGGAATGCAGACATTAATGGGAGATGTACTGGGACATCAACCAACAGCTGTTTCACTCAGCCGCTCGCCACGCCCCCTTGAAAACAGCGCGGGGTTGTGCAGGTGTAAGCGAGGGGAGCGGGATAGGAAGCAACGGAATTGTACAGGTTAGCGGAGGGCAGAGTCTCCCACAGAAGAACTTTGGGAAGGGAAGAGCCCAACTGGGAGATGGGCCCCAAATCCCCAAAGGTCGTGAGCTCCTAACTGCCCTTGAGAATCTGGGCCTCCAGGCCTAGAGTGGCTTTGCGGGGCTGGGGGGTAAGCAAACGATCCTTGTACATCAAGCCCATGTGCGGTGGAAGCGACGTAGGCCTGACAAACAGGCCGCACCAGAACACATCAGAAAAGCCTTTTTAAACGTTCGCCACCCAGGATTTTGAGGAAAATAGGGATGTGAAAGGGTAACCGCCTAACGGGTTACCTACACGGGTAATGCTTGCCGGCTCCGGTGAGCCGGTGGGGACTGGAGCCATGGGCAGGGGTCTGCTCAAGCCTCACAGGGATCCCGCTGTAGATGGGCTGCTCTTGTCTGTAGCGCAACGTTTTCAGTGTTCCCCAAAGAAACCCACTGCAAGGCTCAGTGATGAGAAAAAGCTGTGCACTGCACGTTGCTGCCAGGAGCTCTGTTTGTTCCTTACGGCCTGCTTGGTCCTCCGAAACAAGACCCAAGGCACCATGTTACTTAATGCAACAGTCCACTGACGTATAGACCCACACCCTTTCAGCTGGTCACTGACGCACCTCGACATCCACGTAGAAGTCAATGGGGCATCGCACAGACCTAACGGGACCGCAGGCAGGGATCAGAATGTAGGATGGGGCCTTTAATAAGTGACACCTTGAGAGACTAGAAAAACCCAACCAACCTATGATTTCCAAGGCATTTCAGGACTGTCAAAGTATTCTGTGAGTTTTCCTACTTATGAAACATCAAGTGCATTATGGGAGCTATTCTCCACTGGCTAATGAAAAGGTGCAGTCAAGCAACAGGCCTCTCTTTAATGAGACTTTTCAAATTATTCTTACTTGGTTGATGCTTCTGTTGAATTTTTCTTTTAAAAAAAAAAAGGCAAAATATTGAAGAGGGAGAAGCATCCTTGCAATAGTCCTGCCACGTCCCCTAGGAACAGCACAATAAATAGGCCCATGGCACACATTTGATCCAAAGCCAAATCTCTGCCTGTCATTGTGTGCCTGTGCTTTTCTTCATGAAATCTGGCACCTCTTACTGTACATTTCGCTGGATGTGCTGGAACAGCTGTTTCAGGTTTTGGTCCAAGTTTCTCTCAAAAGTGAATCCCACGCAAACTCTTTGTGGGGCTGTTTTTGTTTTCTTCATGGTGTTCAAACAGGTTGGATTTCAGCCTGCCCCCATGTCAATCCCTTGTGCTTAGTCCTATGCAGTGCATGGAGGAAAGCTGGGGCTGGCTTCCCAGCTCTCAACAGGTGCACGCTCAGGTGGGCACTAGATTAGATCTGAGTGGCAGCTGCTTGCATTCTGAAAGCCTTGGCAAGCTTTGGTTTGATAGGGCTGATTACCGCACACACATCCCCCCAGAAAAGTTAATTAGCAACCTGGGGGAAATCAGCTGTGTCTTTTGAGAGGATTTAACCCCAAAGGCAGCACCTCCCTCGTTGTCTTCCCTCGGAGGGTGAAATTGGCCTCCGTGGGTTGTGCTGGCACCTCTGCACAGGGCGAATTGATCTCATTGCAGTCCGAGTGCTGTCTTGAGAGAAGCGTTGCATTGTCGTGTGTTTTGTTCTTCAATCCCATCAGGCCAAGCAGTCCTTAGCCACGTTAACCAAGGATGTCCCCAAGCGTCACTCCTTAGCCATGCCGGGCGAGACGGTGTTGAATGGGAATCAGGAATGGGTGATGCAGGCGGATCTCCCCCTCACAGCTGCTATCCGGCAGAGCCAGCAGACGCTTTACCATTCGCACCCCCAGCATGCCGCAGACCGACAAGGTGAGCTCCGGGCCAGCAGCAAACCCCTTTGGGACCCCTCTGCAGTGTGTTCTGCCTTCGCTACAACTGCCTTCGGGGTAAAGTCGAGAACTGCTTTGTTCCAGCAAAGGGTTAACCCTCTGCAGCATGTTCTGCCTTCGCTACAACTGCCTTCGGGGTAAAGTCGAGAACCGCTTTGTTCCAGCAAAGGGTTAGTCTTGTGTGTTGTGGCAAGGAGGGGAATAAAGCCCAGTAGCTTGATATGAGTGCGCTCCAGTGAGAGGGAGGGACAGGAGAGAGATGTAGATAAAGAGAACTCCAGTCCAGTAGCTTGTTATGAGTGCGCTGCAGTGAAAGGGAGGGACAGGAGAGAGATGTAGATAAAGAGAACTCCAGAGGCATGGGGCACATCTCTAGGTCGTGCAACTTGGCATAGAAGACGAGAGCTATGAGGGAAGACTGGAAGAATTGGGCTTGTTTAGTTTGGAAAAGAGGAGACTGAGAGGGGACGTAACAGCTTTCAAGTATCTAAAAGGGTGTTACAAGGAGGAGGGAGAAAAATTGTTCTCCTTGCCCTCTGATGATAGGAAAAAAAGCAATGGGCTTTAATTGCAGCAAGGGAGGTTTAGGTTGGACATTAGGAAAGACTTCCTGTCAGGGTGGTTAAACACTGGAATGAATTGCCCAGGGAGGCTGTGGAATCTCCATCACTGGAGATATTCAAGAGCAGGTTGGATAGCCGTCTGTCACGGATGATCTAGATGGTGCGTGGTCCTGCTGTGAGTGCAGGGGACTGGACTTTACAATCTCTCAAGGTCCCTTCCAGTTCTAGTATTCTATGATAGCCAATGTAGCCAATGCTTCTATGCTGGCTGACACCTGCTAAGGATCTGCCACCCAGACTTGAGCCAATTTCCATTTAAAGCTTACGAATTCCCTTTTAAAGATCAACAATTCTCATTCATTTTAAAATCAGGGTTTATCCGTAACTTTGAGGATGTTCAGCCCTGTACTCCCTTCTTTCAGATGAGGCCTTGACCACTTGTGGTCATCGAAGTCTTAGGATTGTTTTGGATCCCAACTAAGATCATTATGTTCTGCCCCCTAAAATCCCTCCTGTGGGACCCCAGGGATACACAACATTCTTTGTTACTTCCTGTGATAGGCGGTTATTCATTGCTGCAGGGTCCTGTAACAGCCGCCAACTTTCAACTCCATGGTTGCCTGAGTCTCATTGGTTGGGGAGTCGTCCTCAGCTCTCTCTTTCCTGTCTCCTCTGGGTGTCGTAAGGCTTAATCGCTGCGTACCGGAAAGCACATGGAGATATTTGGAGAAGGGAGGGCAAAGGATCAACTGATTCTACCCCCATGTCAGGTCCCTGCTGTATTTTGATAGGAGCGTGTAAGAAACCTGAACAGGTCTTGAAATACATGCTCAGACTCAGCGACATCCCCCTCCTCTGCATAACCTCCCTGTGACGGGGCAGGACGCCTTAATCGCTGCGTACCGGAAAGCACATGGAGATATTTGGAGAAGGGAGGGCAAAGGATCAACTGATTCTACCCCCATGTCAGGTCCCTGCTGTATTTTGATAGGAGCGTGTAAGAAACCTGAACAGGTCTTGAAATACATGCTCAGACTCAGCGACATCCCCCTCCTCTGCATAACCTCCCTGTGACGGGGCAGGACGCCTC